TGTGTGTGCCTCTGTGTTTCTCTCTGTCTCTGTGTCTCTCTCTGTGTCTCTTTCTGTCTCTGTCTCTGTCTGCCTCTGTCTCTGTCTCTCTCTGTCTCTCTCTGTCTGTCTCTCTGTCTCTGTGTCTCTTTCTCTGTCTCTTTCTGTCTCTGTCTCTCTGTCTGTCTCTGTCTATCTCTCTCTCTGTCTCTCTCTCTCTGTCTCTCTCTCTCTCCTTCAAATGATCATTTAGGTAAAGGATCCAAATTCTTTACTGATAATCAGAATGCAATGGAGAAGGAGTTGTGAGAAGGAGACAGACAAGATTCTTTGACTTCCGACAAGTTATTACTATTATTTTTCTCCCCCTGGACTAGTAACATAATGCCAAAATAAACAAGTATTTAAAATTAGCCCCATGCTTTTCAGCCCCCATCACCACACCACCCCCCACACCTTAACTAATTTCAGTTTTCCAGCTTCACATGCCCAGGTTTTTTTTTGGGGGGGGGGGTTGTGCGTGCGTGTGGTTCTTGATGTGTGTGTTGTGTGTGTGTCTATTTCCCACGGTCGTCTAGGACAGGCACCTAAGAAGAACACACACACACACACACACAGAGTCTCTTTTCTCCTCCTCCTCCACCACCACCACCACCACCACCACTGCCACCACCGCCACCGCCACTGACACCACCAAACCACCGCAACCTAGAGCGTGAGGATTCCCTTTGTTCCGCTTTTAGATCTCTGTCCTTTCCCACAGAACATCCACCTGGCTGCTTTTACTCAGTGACATTTTGAGCCAGGGGGTGGCAGTGGGTGGTGGGTGGGGTGGAGAGAAACGAGATGCAAGAGAGAGATGGGGGAGGGAGGGAGGAGAGAGGTCGAAGGTGGGGGGAGGGAAAAACAAGGAGCCTCTAATAACCTGCGGTGCCAGGGGTTTGCTTGTTTCTCGATTTATTTATTTATTTCCCATTTCTTTTTTCTTTATTAGCACAGCCAGCTTCGCAGCCCCGGGAGCTCGGGGAGATGCGGGACCACCCACTGGAGGGGAAAAAGAGAGAAGCCCTCCCGCGCCCTCCCCCTGCTCCCGAGCGCCTCTTCCCGAGCCAGCGCACAGACTGCCAGCACCAACCCAGAGCCACCCACCGGGATGGGCAGCACCTCGGAGTCGGCTGCGGCGGCGGCGGCGGCGGCGGCCACTCTCTCCTGACTCCGACAGCTTTCAAGCTGCAGGATCCTGGGCTCCCGCAGGAGCAGGAGGTGCATTAAGTTGACTGGGGAGATTTCCCTCCCCCACCCCCCACCTTTTGAACTTGTTGCTCCTGCCGGGTCCCCCTCCAGCCAACCCTCTCCTGCTCTTCCAACCCCCTCCCCTCCACCCCTCACCCCGCCTCCTGATGCCCGTGGGCTCCTGAAGCGTGGAAGGGAGAAGACAGGCAGGCAGGCAAGGAGGCATGGGGGAAGGGGACGAGCACCGCGCGGCTGGAGCTTTTCGGCTGTTTCTTCCCCAGTGGAGCTGAGTCTGCGGCTCAGGAGCTTCTCGCTTTGCCCTGTCTCCCATTCTGGATGCACGGATAAAAGAATAAAGTCTCTATGCAACTCAGCCCCGCGCCTGGACTTTCTCAGGTATGTACCTCAGGCGAGGCACGTTTTTCTGACCGGCAGATGTTGCCGCTGCTGTCACCGCTGCCAAAGAAGAACCTGCTTGGGGTCTGTAAATGTCAAAATGCACAAGAGCTAAACTTGCAAAGAGAGTGAAGGGAGGCTTGAGCAAATGGTTTTGGGGGATTTTTGTTTTTTTTGTTTTTTGTTCTCCCTTTCACGAATTGTGTGTGGGTAGGCTCTGCGGGAAGGGACGGTTTGGAGTCAGCCCTTCTGTTCACTCCGCATCATCCCACCACTGCACGTAGAGGGCAGGGTACCCAGTTCCCAGAAAGAGGAGAACAGAGGGGTCTGCTACTGTGATTGCATCTCGGGAGCTCCGACAACAGGTCGCCTTTTGGACAGACTACTGTGGCGGAAAGGGGAAAGAGAATTGGGTCTTGGAGGAGGGGGGCAAGGCAGCAGTTAGCCCCTTTCCTCTGGTGAAGAAAAACAGGTGATTGACAGTTTTCCCCCTCACCCCCTAGGCATAACCCCTCTCCCCGACATCTGGACCGTGTGTGGGAGAGAATCAGAGACACCTGCTTACAGAAGAAAGGGCTGCATCCGAAGTCACCTGTGTGTATATCTGCCTGTGTGTGGGAGGGTGGTGCCAGCTGCAGGTGAGAGCTTGGGTAGATTCATTTCACGGAGACTGGTGGACTGTTGTATTTATTACTATTATTTTAAATTTCTGAGTACCTGACTCTGAGGATTGGCTGATTCTCTCAGAATTGTGTCTTCAGCAATATCCCTACTTTTGAAGTTGCAGCATTCATCTGTACCAGGTTCTTAATCAGTAGTATTTTCTTCCTGGGAAGGAAGAGAAGGGGAACTTGTGGCTAATTTTGTGGTCACACAGTAAAAGCCTCCCCACCTTCTCCCAGCACCTCCCCAGAAGGAACCATGGCTGCAGGAGTAGCAGCATGGCTGCCCTTTGCTCGGGCAGCAGCTATAGGCTGGATGCCTGTGGCCACAGGACCCATGCCAGCACCCCCCAGGCAGGAGAGGAAGAGGACTCAAGATGCTCTCATTGTCCTGAATGTGAGTGGCACTCAGTTCCAGACATGGCAGGATACCCTGGAACGTTACCCAGACACACTGTTGGGCAGCTCAGAGAGGGACTTCTTCTACCACCCTGAGACCCAGCAGTATTTCTTTGACCGTGACCCTGACATCTTCCGCCATATCCTGAACTTCTACCGCACTGGCAAGCTCCATTACCCAAGACAAGAGTGCATCTCTGCCTATGATGAAGAATTGGCCTTCTTTGGCCTCATCCCAGAGATTATTGGTGACTGCTGTTATGAGGAATATAAGGACCGTAGGCGGGAGAATGCAGAAAGGCTACAGGATGATGCTGACAATGAAAATACAGGGGAGAGTGCTCTGCCTTCAATGACTGCTCGGCAGAGGGTCTGGAGGGCCTTTGAGAACCCCCATACCAGCACCATGGCCCTGGTATTCTACTATGTCACTGGGTTCTTTATTGCTGTCTCAGTCATTGCTAATGTTGTAGAGACAGTGCCATGTGGATCTAGTCCTGGCCACATCAAGGAGCTGCCATGTGGTGAGCGCTATGCTGTAGCCTTCTTCTGCCTGGACACAGCCTGTGTGATGATATTCACTGTTGAGTACCTGTTGCGCCTGGCTGCGGCACCCAGCCGCTATCGTTTTGTACGTAGCGTCATGAGCATTATAGATGTGGTAGCCATCCTGCCTTATTACATAGGGCTAGTGATGACTGACAATGAGGATGTTAGCGGGGCCTTTGTCACATTGCGGGTTTTCCGAGTCTTCCGGATCTTTAAGTTTTCCCGCCATTCCCAGGGCCTTCGGATCCTGGGCTACACACTCAAGAGTTGCGCTTCAGAGTTGGGGTTCCTGCTCTTCTCTCTCACCATGGCTATCATCATCTTTGCTACTGTCATGTTCTACGCAGAGAAGGGGTCTTCAGCCAGCAAATTCACCAGCATTCCTGCTGCTTTCTGGTATACCATCGTCACCATGACAACACTAGGGTAGGTGCCATGATGGGGAATGGAATGCCATTGAAGGGTGCGCATAAGGGATTATAGTTACACCCCAAAGAAAGTGGTGTTTCTGAGTATTCTTATGTGACAAATGAAGAAAAATTGGTTTTTCTTGTTGTCTATCTTTAGGTATTACTTGTATTTAGAAAGTGTCTATGATGATAAGATTTGGTACATTTTAACAGGTAAATGCTCATGCTCAAACTTCTAGAGACAAAAGTGAATTCTTGCAAGTAAATGGTCATTCAGTATTCTGAAAACTATACATAAAATATCCACTTGAACGTTGGAAACACAAATTCATGTGCCCAGGCATATGGATAGAAGTCAACAATTTTAGACTTGATTTATTAATTCTATTACTATTTTTTCAAAATTACATACATACATTACATATACATATAAAACTGTGTAAAAAGTTAGCATTATGCTTTCAAAAAGAATATCATATAATTAATATCTGGATGCTGTAAATATAAAATTAAGACCCACCCTCACCTTTATTGTATAGGATCATGCAGTGATATGAAATATAACTTATTTTCATTGAGGAGTAGATCTCATTTTAAAGTTACTTTTCATCACAAGAGGTTTAAGAAAGGCATAGAAATGTCATCCATCTACAAAAATGATGCCTTTTGGCACTTAAGCGTTGTTATGCAGATATATATGTATATGTACATGGCCATGTACATAGATGATCATTAAGTTTGCAATTTTCCAAGTCAAACCAATTTGAAGAAAAGAAACTTTTGAGTAACTTAAAATATGTATTTATATACATGTATATATACATATACACATACATGCACACACATGCCATCCATTTTTTTGTGAATAGCTCAGTTTTCTAATTAATACAGATTCCATCAAACACTATATTAGTGTTCCTTGGTTGCAAATAAAAGTAGAGGAGTAAAGTATAGGAATGTTTGCCCTCAAAAATTCTCTTGTGTTTTTTTCCTTATTTGTGATATAACCATACTTCCAAAACAAGGAGACAAACAAGAACTGGTTTATTTTTAAAAGGAAGGTAATATATTAAAATAGAAAATCTGCTTAAGATTCAAATTCAAAAGTTAGCCAAATGGTTAATAAGGTGATTCTGACTGTAGAAAAAAAAGTGAATGCACTTTAAGCATGGGAGGAACTTTTAGGTCTTAGTTTAGTTCTAAGCAAAGCCAAGGAATTAGTTACTTTCTTTCTGTAGCTTTATACTTTTATTGCATACGCAAGCGGTTCAATAAAGGTTTGGTAATGATTACAGGAGAAAAAAAAAAGTTGTTCTTCAGGCTGCTTTTTAAGTCTGTCTAGATGGGTAATTTAATTGTTTTCTTTAAATAATGCGAATGATGATTTAGTTAATGTCTATTCGGTTTCATTAGTATTGTCCTTTTGAGCTAAGGTGTCTAGTTTTTTCACATGGCTAACTAATGCAACATCCCTTATAGACTGAAGTATTTTTCCTCAAGTTATGAATGATTGAGTAATGTTGAGAGCTATTTATCATTTTCATTGACTCCTTTGCTTAACTTCTTGATGATAATCTACTTGTGACTTATGTAAAAACTGTGGGAATTTTTTTAAATCAGGAAATATATATCATATGTTTTATATTTCTATTTTACCTGTTTTTTTAAAGTACTCATATAAAAATCTATATTTTGACTGTTAAAGAGCTCATTCACTTTGAATGGTTACTCCTCATAGAATGATTCCCTCCCTCCTCCCCTTTTTATATTATTGAATTTAGTTGTTGGAGAGAATTATTGTGTAACAAGCAGACAGAAGTGACTTCAAGTTAGAAATAAAAAGTGGCAGATGCACACTAAATGAACAGAGATGTATTTTTCATGCTGATCTTCATGTTAAGAAGAAATGAAGGCAGGACATACAGAATTATTTCTAAATGGAATTGTTGTCCATGAGATGTCAGTGAGTCTTCAGTAATGTGATTCTATAGGTTGAAGACAAGACTTGCTATCCTAATGAAAGCTGAGACTAGATTCAGAGAAGCAATTTAAATGTTACCCTATAGACAGGAGAAGAGTTGTAGTTGTGTCTGTTCACTTCTTGTAGATAACTTTCATCAGTTGATGAGGTGATGGTAAAATCTTTTGTCTTTTCTGGGAAAATCTAAGTAATTTTAAAACACTACTGACAACATTTTATTACATAAATGAAATGCAGATACAGAATCAATCTATTTACATTTTGAAAGGGTTTGGGAATCTGAATCATAATGTATGAATAAAATCTCTGCAGTGGGATTTATTTCAAGTGTTCCATATGTAAGAGCTTTAGGGGAATCAAATGCATCTTTTCTGAGAAATTGGAAGTAAACTAGAAATTCCACTTTTAAGATACCAGCTCTGCTGATATCTTAGTTTTAGGAAAAATAATTTTCAGAAAGTTATACTAATTAATAACAGTTGATACACACACGTGCACATGCACACACACACACACACACACACGCTTCACATCCACTCACTTTTAGACTATTAAAAATATGTTGAGATATTGAGTTCAGAATGATTCATTGGAGAGTATAAATTTGTTATATAAAAACATCTGCAATAAATGTTCTTATTCCAAACCTATAATTAAAAGTTCCAAATTACTGGCTATAAATTCAATCATCTTAATTGTTCGACAAGTTACGGAGTTTATTTTGTCTAACTTTTAAATTCTATTTTGGGGATCAACTAAAAGAATGTATATATTATATGGAGCTTATTTATCTTTGTATAATGAAGCAAATGTTCCTGCCCAGATATAAAATGTAATAAAAGGCCATAGCCTAGCATTACCTATTTTCTCCGGACTTTTAAATTTAACAGTATTCCTAAGAATTATGATAAACAGTGAACTTTCTGGAAGAAAATATGTAATGGCAGGAGTTAATCGCAAGGTCTGTTTGGGAGAAAATCAAAGAACTTTCCATTACATTTGCTGGGCTATTTTACAGTGGCTATTATTTTTAATAGTGCTAATATACATCACTAATGATAATAGAAGCAGAGATAATGAAATCTAAATCAGTGGTTATTGGAAGTTCCAACCAGTAAGAACATTAACCACAGGAGGTGAAATACTAAAAGCCTGGTCATTAGGTGTTGGCACTATTATCCTATGTCACCTAGATAATTGTTTGTCTAGCCATTGGATGCTGTTTATGTATGTACTAATAAGTGGGTCAATCTTAAGATGAGTGTTTATCCACCTTAGAATTATTAATTGTTCTGACATCTTACATATTAGAAAGTAGATGTAGGCCAATACCATGTGAACAATTATTTCAGGTTTGGGCAAAGTGAACATTTATGTTGTGGTTATTACGGTTTTTATACTTTTTATTAAGAAATACCTTTAAGTTTGGAAACACCTGCTAAACAACTTTGGTGTTGAATTTGTTTGAATTTAGAACAACTTTGAAGCAATTTATAGAAGTAAAGGGAAACTGTATCAGTAAAATAAGTGAAATGGTTTTATGTTTAAATTGGGTGGCAATTGGGTAAATTAAATTGGGTAGCTTTGAGGATCCCTCCCCCTTATTCTGTTGGGGGGATAAACCTGATAAGTAAGTGAATATGTATTAAATGTATATATGTACATATGTATGTATACATGCCACTGGACAAGATTATGACAATCCTTTTCTTTCCTTCTTCACCCTACTTCTCTAATGATTATTGGCCTTGGCTGCTCCAGGAGAACAGGAACCTGATACTTCTATATTTTTTATCATTAAATCCTGAATACAAAGTCATAATACACTGGATGTCAATTCATGCTATTCACCTTCCCATTCATAACCCATTTGAGGGTCTCAGGCTGAATGAAGCTAATTGGACTTTGTATGTATTGTGATTGTAGCCAAATTCAATGTTATTTGAAATGCAGTGTGTATTAAAAAAATACATAAGCAAATGAATGTGCATTTCACAGGCTCTCACTTCAGTTTTCCAAGGGTAGCTTACTCTCGGAGCCCCAGAGTTGCAGTGTTACTGAGCAGCAGCCTTAGTAATTTAGAGAGTTATTATCTTGTAACAATAGTTACACTAGATTTTTCAGTTCTTCATGATTGCTGAGCAATTAAACCATCTTTTAGAAATGCAGATTGAATTTACTCTTATGGCATACCAGTGCTAGTGACAGTGAAAGGATGACTCAACTATTAATTTATTTGCTCTACCTGTCTTCCAGTGCTACTTCTCATGGGTAGAAAGGGAGCTATATCCATGCATACAAACATATATCTTCAAGGGGGGAAAAAAGCCTGAAAAAGAATGTTGGGAAGAAAAATAAATGAAACATGAGTAGATCATAGTAATACTCCAGAGAAATCTTGTTTCTTCTTTTTGGAGCTATTTCTAATTTCAAAACAAAATTGTTTGTATCTCAGAAGGCAAGTAGTGTTGTATGAAGGCTAGAGAACTGACCTTAGACTCAGGAAGAGTTAGGCTGATGTCTTGCCTCTAATATAAACTGACATATGCCTAGGCAGAAACTTGTCTAAAACAAGAGTTTGCAGAAGTTTCCAATAAGTATTGGTAATGAGATTTTTCCCTACGCCAATGAAATCACAGATTTGGATTCCCTCCCACTACCACCCCACAAAAAAGGCATGGTCAAAGAACACTAATGTTCCATGTTCTAAGTCAAAACTTGGGATCTCAACTTTGATGAAATTCCAACTAAATAAAGGAAAAGTTATTATCTGGGTTATTAAAAAGTTGAGGACGTTCAACAAAATAAGTAAAATACATACTGAAATTCCTCAGAAATTAAATCTGATTTTTCCCATTTTAATCAGTTTAGTGTTTTTGCCTTTTTTGAAAGAGCACACTTTTTTGAAAGAAAGACTATTTCTACAGCATTTCCATTTTAGAAGGTCTGGTGAATTAATATTCTGAGAAACAAAAGTGCAAGACAACTTTTAACTGTACCAAAGGATAGTCTATCAAGGACATCAGTTATTTAAA